TAATATATATTTCTTACCAATTAAGTTGATCTTCTTGTCTGATATGAATAGTAAAATACTGTTCCTCTTTTGACATATTCGGCAGTTTCGCAATTTCCGCTGAAACGATATTTCACGTTGAAACCCATTGGGAGGATTGAGTGTCAAGCTGACAGGTCTGACAGGTCTGACAGGTCTGACAGGTCTGACAGGTCTGACAGTGGTTTTATGGCTTTCTAGTCCCGTAAAAAACAAACCCAAAATGTCACGTCACGATTTTTGAAATTCCTTTTKTTTTYGTTTCTATTATTCCAGAAGCAATTGCGTTACAATTCCGATTATTACTAATAATTTRATCGATCGTAAGAAAACAAACAGGSATTGTCACGTTATGATATAACGCAATCCTATTAGTCACGAATACATCCTGATATATATGTCGTGCTAAAATCTTGTATAATAAAGAGAATTTAAATGGCCTAGGCAAGGGGGATTCTATGGAGGATGGTCGGGGAATAAAACTAGGTCCTGGTCCTGGTATATATTTTGCTTGATAATGAAAGTAGCGACAGYTTGAAATTTGTATCGGCATGTAAATCATTGTGTTTTTTTATCTGGTACTTTTTATCACGCCTACCTATGAAAGACTCTGGTATCTTTTAGGGATAATTTCAATCCGACGATCATCCTCGACCTACGTTATATGGATGTCTACACCTCCTTTCCTGGAGTGAATGAGGACAATGAGCATAGACGAAAAATACTCATGTATTTTTACTCATTTGTATGTTGTTTTCAGTGCCGCTTCTCAGGCTGAACTAGATTGGGGTAATTTCTTTATTTTATTTCTTTATTTTTTTTGCTGTTATAGTCGTGTCAGCTGCAGCTCATCTGGTGTCAAGACCCATGATCTGCAGTTAAGATTTCAGTCAGTTATGAATGTCAATAAAGGCTGGAGCATCCAGAACCCTAATCCCAGGCTCTTGGTGCGTACTGATTAACTATTTGCACTTACTGGTCACYTCGCATAACACAAACGTACATTCTGTTCTGCTCCATCTTATAATCTGAAACGTACCGTATTATATTGATTCGGAGGTGGTTCTYGTCATTTTTGAAGTTTGTTTTTATATATCTACTTGATTTCTTGACCTGGTAGAGCAAATCACCCATTCAAGCAATTCTRTCCATTCAGTCGTACACACCCATAGTTAATGCATATTCCACAATCAGCTCTGTTCTGTTATATGTATGGTTTTGTTTTTCAATAGAAACTTCAAAGTGAAAGTAGTAAACTCAATGCTGGACTTGCACCCTTCAGTTTCAGGTAAACATTAAATGTGAGAATACAACTTCATTTCCCAGAGCCGTTGGTCATTGCWGCACAACCCAAAAACATCCATAAGTATGAAATGAGACAAAATATGAACGAGTCCTTAAATGARTCTTTTACAAAGACTCCAAGCTTTSAATATGAAAAATGGTATGGCTCAACTAAAAACCGCTCGGTTTGCCAAATCGTAACTGAAAGCATGATCCCATGAAAACGGAAAGTTTTGACCGCTAAATGGCTCTGCAGGGCGTGAAATACTGGATTSGTTTTACAAAAGACGCTGGTGGTATTGATAAACTATCWAACTGTTGTGATGTTTTGTTTTTACAGAAATRTTGATGAKTATTCACTCCTCAAACGAACATTAGCCGCTCCWCATGTCGAATACCTTTACCAGCACAAACATTCSTATTTGATTGAAGAAAGACACATGAAAACCACTGGATCAACAGCTCAACTCAACGAAAGGTCAATTGAATCTAAATATTACGCATTAGAGTACTTGAATTAATGCAGCGAGTTACTAGTTTTTATGTAGCGCATTTGTGAGAATACATTTGATTAAATGACTGGCCAAACGCAGTYAACTCACACAAAACTTCGACATCTAATCACAACACGCATGCCGTCYGCAATAGTGACTCGAAGAAACAGGTTCATTTTTGTCATGACATGTCTTTTCTCAAAATATTCTTGACTATCCACACTATACATGTAGACCTGAATGATTTTATCTAAAAGGTTTTCGATCGCTGCATCTACTGCGCCGGAACGACGTCCTGATAGACTCCCAGAAATATCACCCCCACCTACCCATCCTTTGCAAAAACCTGAAGTCTTAGTCTCTTCTCCGACCAAAAAAGACGAGTTGGCCTGTGTTCACAAGAAATCATGTGGTTGTGTCAATGTTGGGGAGAGGGAGAAAGTACCATCTAAAAATATTTACAGTCAGTGGGTGAGTAAGTCTATATTTTCGTCATCCTTTCGACATTTCTGTTATYCTTTGATTTGTGTTATCAGGAGAGAAAACCCACTTGTGCGCAGCGTAAGAAAAGTCTACAGAGCAGCAGCTCATCAAGTATGTTCGCGAGTAAAGTTCGAGTGAAACCAGTTATTGAAAAATCATCAATCAGCCCRCCAAAAATATCTCAAAGAAAGATAAATAGAGGTATATATACAAGTATCTAGACACCAGCGAAATAGTTCCATTATTAGATTCCAGTTTCCGCGCGGTGGAAGTCCCTTAGTCGGCGCTCCTCAACTGCTGCCAGGAATTTAAACAATACCATCTATTCCTTGAGTTGCATTATTGGGATGGAGGAACACTAGGAGGGATCGACGGAGAAGGGAGAAATGGCTCTTTCTTGTTCTGACATGAGGGAGGGGGCTTACTARATTACTACAGTGAAATTAGTGGAGTGGGCGAGGCAGAGATATCAATGTAGGAGGAATGTGGGAGATTTAAGGTCTGTTCCCTCTCCCTCAAAAGTGTTTGTACTGTGATACGTTATGAACCTGCTGGATTGCGTCAATTTTCATATATTTGCTTGGGAACACAGAGATACACAGAAGCCATGGCTTCGAATTCGTTTSAAGCCCGATGTTGTCGATTTTATTTTACTTCTTCGATTGCATATTTTTGAGCTACAATAGTCATCTATAATAATGCAACTGAAGGAATAGATGGTATTGTTTAATCATCATTATGTTTTATTTCTAATACCCTAATCTCCGCTAGCAATGTCTCTGWATAGAAATATGCCTATCAAAGTGTACGCTTTTGCTATGAATGCTGATATCTTAGAATGACATGTAATTTTTTGATGATTTTCTGGCAGAAAAGTCTTTGGAGAATTTAAGAAGGAAGGTTAGTGTTTTAGACTACATTTCCTGGATTTGGATGGAATTGAACAATTATTACCATATTGTTTTTTAGTAAAATTATAAGCTGACGTTTGTGTACGCACAATCAACAGGCTAAGAAAGTCCTCAAACAAAGCAACAATTCACAAGATAGTTTAGAAAAAAGACGTCGTAGCCTGCAAAACACTGTGATCCAGTCGTCTTCGAGTAAGAAAATTAGAAATACACGCGAACTTAAACCAACGTCGACGTCAAGCATCCAATCACTCGAAGAAAAGACYACAGAAGACATCACCGATAGACAAGTAACGACCAATAGCCAAGACATCASTACAGACATGGAATCTAAAATGCACGTTTAGTTATCTGCTGTCTATTGTTTTGTTTCTTAGTGTTGTTGTCATGGGTTGGACATCACTTAGTTTTTGTTTTTGTTTTGTGTTTGCTTTTGTTTTTCAGGTTGTTTCATTTGTGTGGTTGTTTATCCTCCCTGTGATGTTCATGTCTAATAACATCGATTTTCTTGTAGTGAGGAAAGCAATGATTACATGAATGACGTACTTACAGTTGTCGAGACTATATCCACYGCKGGCACGCCTGCAAGTATACGTCGAATAACCACGCCTAGAATACTTAAAGTAAGATGTTTATGTATTTCATAATCTAAAAGGAATTCGTACGTTGGATTTAAAATCATTATTGTAGCCTCAAGTACATCAACACAGACAAATTCAAATTTATTTGGACGAGATTTCGCGCAAGCGGGCATGACAACGTTACACAAAATAAGAACAATATTAATTAATTTACGCACAAATACAATGGAAAACGCGCACTAAGAATCCGATGGATTTTGCTAATATGTCTTGATGTAATTCAAACAATGAGTATTTCGTGATGTTATATTGATGATGTCATGATGATTAAATCGAAAAGATGTTTGTTTCTTTGGCGGTACAGACCCATGTACATCAGTCTTAATGATTAGTTATGATATGTTGTTATAACGAGGGAGCAGGATTTTTGTRTTTTTGTCGAGTAGGGAGGGGGGGTTGCGACAGATTTTTATGAATGAAACAAAAAAATGAACACTGAATGGAATCGCTGTTTTTCCATAGATGAAGCGTTCAGATGATACCACGGACAAGTTATCAGACTTACATAAAACCTTCAAGAGACTAGATAGTGATGGCGACGGGTACGTCTAATTAACCAATCTCTGTGGTTTCTCTCGACAGGGAATTCAAATGTGCCAATCTCAGTTTACAAGTCTCAATCCCACATTTTTGAACTCTTCAAGAGCAAAAACTYGTAAAACTCTGTAAAAATAAGTTTTTGACTTGCTTGATTTGAGCGACATGTTTTTGATACAGCTGAGCAACCTTAATGGTTTGATTGTATTTAAAGACGTAAAGATTCAGAGGACAAATCAAACGTCCATTATCTTGTAACGATCAGAAAGTCCGAACTATAAAAAATCACAAGAGTCAACAACATCTACGTCTACAGATTGATGAACTTGAGCTGCGTATCATMATGTATTCTACGTAGTCGAGAAAATTTATTTAATGTCGATCACTGTAAGCTGCACTGAACCATTTAATACTGTGACCACAGTGGCCATGACACGCAGTAATGATTTTAGTAGACGATGATATTCTATCTCTTATTTCAGTCATTTGTCCTTCGACGAACTAAAGCAAAGTCTACCCACAGATTTAACAAAACGACAGCTTGATTATCTAAAAAAGGTACCATTTGTCAATAAACATTTCACATTGAGTGGACAATTAAATGAAACCGACTCTACCTTATTTAGCATACAATAGATCTCTGAAAGTTTTACGTCATCAAACCGTATCCCGGACCTAACATTTCAATTTTTCATACCTTACCCCAGACTAAATCTAACAATTGTACACYCTATTCTACGGACTTTTAAGCGGAATTTAAATTGTTTCTGTGTAGTACCGAAAGTCCAGCTAATTCCAGACTAAAACCGACCAAAACCTTCTCTGGCTAAAACGACCAAATTGACTGAAATCCTATCCCGGTGAAAAACCATACCATATCCCAAAGTAAATGTCAAAAATGATACACTATCCTATAGCAAATAAAGATAGCAAATGTAGGGAGAACCCCGGGAGTCAACTATTGATTTTCAATGCATCGTAGATCAGTTTCTGGAGAAAACACAGGAAATCCGCAATGTTAAGCCCAAACATATCCTACAATGCATTGCGTACGCGGTACATGACGTAAAAGCTTCATATGCCTATTAATTACTGGTATAAATCATTTGCTATGTATTTAAATTTGTATTTTAGTCTTTATTGAAACACATTAATGGTGTTGTTTCCAACCACAGATATACCTTATGGCATGCGAGAGCACTTTCTTCGGTTTTGAAGAATTTGCTGCCGTCAATCAAATGTGCGACGTCATCGTAGATATCAGGTGATRACTCATACCAGTAGCAAATAGATCTCTGGTTGACGGAAAAGAGCATAAAAAAATTTTACATTAGAAATAAAATAATCCGAATTACAAAATGATTCTTGGATAGCTCTTTAACTGTRGCTAGGTATAGGATTTTGACAAAGTTTAGCGGTGAAAATAGCTGCAGTGTAGCCTCATAGTTGTAAAAGTTTCAAAAGCTCCTTAGGTAAAATCTAAGACGGAATGGCCGCGTGCTTAACGTCAAAGTTTGAATTGTGAATTTCTCTCAAACGTAAGATGTTATGTTTGMGGACGGCGCTGGACATACCTGTCAACTGAAAAGTAGATGACAAGTTTATTGTCAGATAAGCTTAATTCAGTAAAGTCACACGACATTTTATATACACCACTCTGTACTTGATTGTATTAATAATAATTGTCTTTATCATTAGCCCAGCTGTTCTAGAAGCATATGAGTCGATCGATCTGAGTAATATCGAAGACAAACTTCAAATGTACATGGTAAGTCGTATTAACACACAGTATTATATAACTGTGATTTTCT